TTTTGGTTGTATTTCTCTGATGATTAATGATGTTGAGCATCTTTTCATGTGCTTATTGGCCATTTGTATATCCTCTTTGGAGAAATGTATTCAGATTTTTTGTCCATTTTTTCAACTGGGTTATTTGTCTCTTTGGTGCTGTAGGAGTTCTTTATATTTTCTAGATACTAGTTGCTTATCAGATAAGGCTTGCAAACATGCTCGCCATTTTCACCCTTGTGATAACCTGCCCTGCCATCTGCGGGGGTGGTTCTTGGTGGCCTTCTGTTGTAAAGATTGTGTGATTTAGAGCCTCATACGCTGGTCTAATTGGAGGGACTCTATCCTAGAGTTTGGTTTTCCAGCCAATCCCGCATGAGGGAATCTACCCAAGAGAAGGGAAGTACACCGTGCGACCACTTTGACAGATCCACTATCCACTGAGGACCGCTCAGGGAGGCATGTTCCCTAGGATGGTCCCACATGTAGATGGTTAAATCCATTATAGGGCTCTAGATGGGAACTCGGTCAACCAAAACATCACCCTACTGCGTTTGCTCCGCCATTCACAGCAGCTGGGTTTACCCCATGCTGTCTTGAGCCTGAGGAGCTTGTTATAAGGAAGCATCTTTTCCACCTTGCCTCTGCCTCTGATTTCCCCATTCTCACCAGGAGCCATCCTAGGTCCTGGGCTTTTCCCACACACCCAGCTGTGACTACTCTAGCAGATCAGCACACCTCTCTAGCAGGCCAGGGGCACGCAGGGTGAAGGAGGCCTTCATTCCACAGGAAGCACGACAATGAAGTCTGTGAGTCCAAATCCAGGGAGAGCAGGGCTGAGTGTGTATTCTGTCCCTGAGGCCACTAGGACTCTATATAGCCCAGGATCCAGGCCATAGTTGGGGCCTAGTAATAGACTAAGAATGGGAGCTCTTCTCCCACCATTAATGTGAAATGGCTCGAGGAACAGCAGGCCTAGGACTGACTTAAAAGACCTGTCCAGGCCAGTGAACCACACGGAACCCCACAGCCATAGTGCAAGCGGGAGACGACCTGCTCACGGCCCCCTGAGGAGGACAGAAAGCGGGAACAGAAGCGGTGGACTCACACTGTGGAGGTAGATGGTAGGCATGGTTGGTTGGTCTCAAGAAGGTGGTTTTCTGGACTAGAACTATGTTCTATAGTAAACATTTTGCAGATATTTGCAAACATGTTTGCGTTATCTCGAGGAATGGCGTGGTAGGGAATGGTCTCGAAGAGGTTCTGTGTCCATTTGAGCACAAAAGGATTGTCCTGCTCCAAAGCCAATAGTGTCCTTTTTGAGAAACACTAGTAGAATGAAAAGGTTTAACATTTGGGATTCCATCCTCTTTATTGGTCAGGAAAATACCCGTTCTTTTAAAATGTAAGCAACTATGAAGATACTGTGTTAGGTATTGAGAAGTTTAGAAAATGTATCCTAGCCCGGCCAGAGGGGGCTAGAGTCGAGCGGAGAAGCTAACACATGTACAAAAACTATCTTTTATAGAAGGTATAAAGCTCTGTATCCCACACGGAAACAGGAATCGTTAATTCCTCTGGGAGGGAGAGACTCTGGTAGTGGGGTACTTCAGGGGGAAATCCTGGACATGCTGTGGTCCTATAGAGGGGTCTTCCCCAATTTTTACATGGCCGCAAAATACCTCCATCCAGATGTCCCTACCAGATCCGGAAGTTCTGTTAAATTCTATTTTTTGAAAAACAATCACATTCTGTTTAGCTTCACTTGGGAGGTTTTTCTTCTACAAGTGATGGGGCCTTTCCTGCAAGGACTTTCTCTGTAAAAGCACAGAGGCCCACAGAAAAGAGAATCCCCCTTTGATTCCGGGTCCTCGACGGAAGGACACTCGTACATGCCCAGATCCCGTGGTGGCCATGTGCTCCTTGGGTAGCTCACGATGGGGAGTACCCACCCAGTCCCTTCACAGCGGATGGCCTACGTTCTGCGGGCACCTTCCTCCCCCATCGGTATCACCCTGCGGCAGGTGTTCCACGAAGCCTTTGTAAGAAAAAGGGTGGGAGTCAGGCAGGAAGGGAGAGTAACTTGGATGGGGGAGGGGGGAAGCTTTCTAAGCACTCCACACCCGTGAACTCCTTGGCCACCCCAGTGTTGGAGGTACTTCGTGAGGTGGGTGATGTTCTCTCCGTTTTGGAGACATCCATGTGGGACGAGAGCAAGACTTGCCTGAGGTAACACTGCCGGCCCGAGGCGGAGCAGGCGTCTGTACCCCAGGCTTGTTCTGTACTGGCCTGGAGGTCTGTGCAGTCACATCTCCCTCCTGTCTTGTTTCCTTGAGCCTGGAACCTCCCTGAGTTATGGAACTGTCAGCAGTAAGAGATCTTCAAATTAGAACCATTTAAGGTTTTTAGCCCAGCTAAATGCTGCTCTGATTATTTCCCCCGGAGAAATTGCAAATAAGACGAGTACACAAATAACTGTATTGCAGGGGGGGTGGGGGGGAGGTGCCCTCAGAAAGTCACACCGAAAGTGCTGAGCTGCCTCTGAGGGAGAGCCCACACCTCCCTGAGCTGGCAGGAGCAACGGCTTGATGGAGCCACATGTGGATGGGTGGGCATGAGGAATAAGAAGACTCAGACCTTTTTCTGTGTACATCGTTCCATTTGCACCCTACCCTACATGGAAATATCAGTAGAGAGAATGGCCTGTGTTTAAAGCTTGGGGTTTGGGGCAGAAAGAGCTCGGGAGAAATCCGGTAGCGTTCGCATGCATTAAAAACAAACTGCACGTCTGATTTGTGGCTTATCACCTCTAGTTCTGTCCCTAAGCCTCCAGAATCAAGATCGGTCAGACCTCAGGAGTTGTCTTGACAGTTATTGTACATGAGTAGGATAATTGAAGCAGCCTTTAGCTGGGCAAATAACCTTCAGTTTCCATTTCTAAAGCTGCCTGTTAGAGATGGCCGGGAATTCGGTGGGTTTAGTTCCTAGTCCCCCTGCAACTAGAAGGGCAGGGAACCACGGAAGCAAAGTAAGTGAAGTGACCCTTCCCCAGGCCATACCCCAGAGGCCTCGGGGGCTCCTCGTGCTTCCCTACCCTCCTCAAGGAACCTGCACATGTCTGGGGAGCCCATGAGCAGGGCCATGTAATGCCTGTTCAGCTCTGAACAGAATAGAGGCTGCCGTTACCTTTGTGACAGGATTAATTAAAAGGTAAGAATCGTGGAAACAAAGGGTATGAGTGGTCGCCAGGGTCTGGGAGGGAGGGGAGAACGGGGAGTGACTGATAATGGGCCTGGGGGCTTGGTGGGGGATTATGAAAATGTTCTGGAATACTGTATTTGGTATGGTTGCACAACTTTGCAAATATTAAAAGTAAATTTCATGGTATATGAGCTAGCTCAATAAAGCTGTGTTTTTAAAAAGGCATGACTTCTAAACAACCATCTTACACGGGGAAAAAATGAGGAGAGTGCTTTTTGTCACTTGCTCTTATGCTCCCCCCACCCCCCGACACCCATCACTAGGTTAGAAATCTTCCCCCAAACCAAGGTAGGTGGTAACTGAGGTGGCAGAGAGGTAGGGAGCTCCGTCCGGGTTTTTCTTTGCCTCCCATGGTGCTGAGAACAGCCTGGGAGGGAAGAGGGACCCAAGGCCCACGCTGGCAGATGGTTGTGGAGTGTGCAAGGAGAGGCGCTCAAAACCAACCAGCCTCCCAAGCACGTGGTGCCCACCACCCCCCAGGAGTACCTAGTATTCCACAGTGCTCAGTTCTTTGGATGAAATTTTATTTAAGGCAAACGTGTTCCAGGAGGAGGGGTAGGATCCACTTACTCCCCATTAATACTTGAGAATGAGATGCATGAGCAACTGGACATTCAGCGAGGCCACAGGTGATGGTAAGTGGTAGATGCACAATCTCCAGGCAGCACCTAACTGATTTCCAAGCAGGCGACGAGGACCATATGTGTCCCTGGGGACAGGGTATGTGCAGCATCTCCTAATGCTTCTGAAGGGGCAAGTGGGGGCTGATGGTGCACTCTGCCGAGGATGCAGGACCAGGGGGATGGATGGCCGGCTTCACCTTCAGAGGGATTTAAATTGGGAGTTCAGGCTCCATAGAGTAGCCTAGTGTGGAAACAGAATGTGCGATGACGTGAGGAGGTTGTGAGCATCCCCCTGAACCCCGGTCAGGAGCCAGGAGTGAGAGAGAACATCTGTGTGAAGGGAGGTAGCTTTCAAGAGAAAGGGGGCGGACCCTGCCTAGAAACAGTTCACTCATTGAAAAGCTTGCATTAGTTTAAGTAGAGCTCTCCTCAAAGGCCAAGAAACAGACACAAGGCCCTCTGAAAGATTCCCTTCCAGAAACTACCAAAGCACACTTACTAAAAAGGTAGTGGGATTATAAGTGCTCTTCAATTTTTTTTTTTTTTTAATGTGAGTTGCTGTACATTTCCTTCACAGGGGGCTTGCATTACTCTAATGAACAGGGGGGAAATCCTAAGTGAAATCTACTTTGGGGGGGAAAATGGTACCTCCTAAGGTATACCAAAATGTGTGAATGGTGGTGTTGCTTGCGGTTAGGATATCGCTTTTTATTTGCTTATGTATACTTTCCTGCATTTTTAAAGTTTTCAATGAGAAGTATTAATTTCATAAGAAAAGACCAGCATTTAAAAACCAAGCCGCATTCTAGGCAAGGCTCCTTGTCCAGCAGTGTAGTGGAGTGCCACACTTCTGTGTGGGCAGAAGCCCTGTGAGTGGTTCTGCCTCTGGTCAGCCCTCCCAGAACGGTCTGCAGAACCCTCCTTTTCCCTCTTCCACTCGTGATTGTGTAATTCAGCCACACACCGAAATTCTCAGAGGGACTGGACGAATACCAGCCCCTAGAATGTTTTTCGCTGCTCTGAGAACAGCTTTATGCCGGGAGTCGTGACCCCATGGGTCACTGTCTGTGATGGCCTGCGGCCTTTGTGTGGCTGGGAGGCAGGACACGTCACCTGATGCACCTGCTTTCCCTCCAGGTGGGCTTACCATGACTTCTTCAACCGGTATCGGGTGCTGGTCAAGAAGAGAGAGCTCGCCAACACAGACAGAAAGGCCATCTGCAGGTCTGTCCTGGAGAACCTCATCAAGGTGAGCTGGGCGTGCCCCTGGAGGCTTACCCGGATGCCCAGAGAATTGGGGGGTAGGGAGTTAACAGCATTTTTTGCTCTTCATCCTTCCTCTTAAAACTGTTTGAGATATTCATCCATTCTCCAACATCAGCAACTGTAGAAGAGAAGTCCCTTCACATATATAGAGTACTTCCTACCTTTTTCCACATCTCGGCACACGTACAAAGTGGAAATGTTTGTACAACCCCCTGGGGTTTGCTGCTGGCCCAGGACTCTGGCTTCTCCAAAGCCCGAAGCTCTGTAGATCTGCCCACCTGCCCATGCCATGCACCTGCCCATGCCATGCACCTGCCCAGGGCCTCTGATCCGAAGCCCAGGCACAGCTTTGAAGTCAGCAGTTGGGAAAATAGGTGTGCTTCTCATATCTACTTACTGCAAAACTTGGCCTCAGGCCTTACCCCAGACGCTTGTTGTAAATAAGGCAAAAGCTGCAATTACGACAACCTGAACTCAAACCTGAGTCTTGAGACTGGAGCTACTTTGCAGCCTTTTGTGAGGGGCAGATCCTAAATATTAGCTCCACCATATTCAGAGATCGCAGCAGGGCATGGTAAAAGTGGTCTCAATAAAGGGTTATATCAAACACTTTCCCTTTCAGAAGGTAGTGTAATGGAGAGAACTACATCAAAAAAAAAAGTGTTAAATTCCCAGTACAGTTCACCCTCAAACAATGTGGGCAGTAAGAGCATCGATATGCCCATCCCACTGCAGTAAAAAAAAATCCGCATATAACGTTACTTCCTGAGACTGAACTCCTAGTAGTCTACGGCTGACCGGAAGCCTGGTGCGTAGTATCCTGTGTTGCAGACACGGATCCTTTATTGCCGAGGACAGTCCTTGTATTAATGTCCACCCTCTAGTTGTAAGCACTGAGCCCAACACAGAAGGAACGTTTGTGGAACGGAGGAACTAAGTGAATTCCCTGATGAAAAATTATATGAACGTGTGCTGTTTGCTTTGCTTGAAAGGCCTTTTTCCTCTTCTGGTCCACCTAGGTTCCTCCCTCCTTCCCAACTGGGCTCTTAGACTGTCTTCTGGTCTGTGAGGCCTGTCTGACCTCCCAGGTAGAGTTCGTTACCCCCGCCTTTACTGGCCAACAATGCTCACTGTCTGTCTGCTTTTATTGTATTTGTTCCCTTGTCTTGCAATCAAGGCTTTGTCATTTCGCCAGACTGGGAACCCCGAAATGGCAGGGACCCTGTTGTCTTTGTGTTCCTGGCACCGTTACTGGTTCTCACAGGGGCTCTGAGTTTGTGCAGGTGGCTGATGGGTGACGAGCTCGGTGGGCCTGTCATGACTGTCACCTGCTGATAGTGGCTCGTGGTTATGAAGCACCTAGGAGTCACTTTCCTGACTGCTTCACGTACCTGCCTCATCTGATCCTCACGGTGCCTTAGGATACAAGCATCGTTCCCCATTTTACAGACGAGGGAACTGAGGTGTAGAAAGCTGATAAAAATTGCCCCAGGTGTTACTGGTGGACCGACTCAACACCCCCACCCCCAAGCCACTCTGGATCACGTGCCCCTTGAACCAGTCTGATCGATTAATGTCACTGTGCGTAATTATCCTTTCCTAGAAGGACTCTGGGATCAGTGCTTCAGGACTTCTCCGGAGACCTTGTATTTCCTCTGTTTCCCCACCACCCCCCTTTTTGGGGCCACATCTTCTAGTCACCAGTGCTGCTAGGGCGAAGCCACACAGGAGCCTAGAAGGGCACCTTCCAGTCCCAAGCAAGTGCTAGTGCCCTTCAGAACACAGTCATTAGGGAAGAAGCTGGGGGCATGTGGGCCGGGCAACAGGTGCTTAACAGCCTCATCGTGGGAGGGGGGCCGGGGGCTGCTTCATGAGGTGGTTCACAAGGGATGGTGTCCCCCTGCCGGGATTGTAGGAACGCCCTTCATCCTCAACCTGAGTTTGTTTGTTCGTTAATTCCACCAGTATGTATTGCATTCTTTCTGTGCTCTAACCTGGAGTGGTTGAGGGGAGGCTCATAGAAGAGCATAATGCATGCACCCTGCCCTCCGGGACCACTAATCACTGACATGATCATAGACCTCGCGGGAGGGAATCAGATCGTGGGGGCCTGAATCTTGATGGTGACAGGGGAGCAGAATCTTTATTAGCAAGTATCTCCAGGGAGCCCCAGGAGCATAGGGAATTATGGACGTGAGCAGTGTGAAGAGGAGATGGTGCTACAAAAGGGGCCTGGTGCCATGAGAGACCACTGGCCCAGGACTCCTGGGTCTCGGTATCTCCAGTGAGACCTTGAGCAAGTCACTTCGCCATTGCAGACGTTGGTTTTGCCATCTGTGAAATAAAAGGAGTGGCTTGGGATGGATTACTGAGATTCCTTTCTGCTGCTTTAGTCTGTGATTCTTAGAGAAGCATTCTCAAAAGATGACCCCTGGGGCACCTGGGTGGCTCAGTCGTTAACCATCTGCCTTCGGCTCAGGTCATGATCCCAGGGTCCTGGGATCGAGCCCCGCATCGGGCTCCCTATTCGGCGGGAAGCCTGCTACTCCCTCTCCCGCTCCCCCTGCTTGTGTTCCCTCTCTCACTATGTCTCTATCTGTCAAATAAATAAAATCTTTAAAAAAAAAAAAAACAAAAAACCCTGATTGGTATGTGAGTAGTGTAGGCAGCAAGTTCTAGGGGTTAGAGAAAGCAGATCTCTGAGGTGGGAGATGTGCCCAGGACACAGGGGCTAAGAGAGTGTGGCACTTGGGCTAGTGGTGACTGGTTGCAGCAGGTGGAACCTTCAGAAGGATCCTTTTATTTGTGAAAACAGTGGCTTTGCAGACCAGATCACACCTTTCCGGGTGGCTTTTCCAGAATAGGAAACAAGTGTGTGGACTCTGGTTCCTGGGCTGCACCAGACTCCCCCAGGTCCAGGCTTGGCTGAAGCCTGAGGAGGCAGGCTGCTTTCTGACTGTGAGGGCTGAGCCACCCACCTTTTGCTCCCTGGCCCTGCCACACTGAGAAGGAGCCCCTGCCAGGAGGGCAGTGATGAAGGCAGGGCCTTGGCTGCCTGGAAGCTTCCCACCCTGATCCAGCCCTGTTCCTCGCAGCATATGCTGGGAGCCCGTTGGGTACATGGCCCTGAACAGAGGCAGGGACGAGAGCCAGGCCCGCACCTCGCCCCTCCCAGACTTCACCTGCAGCCTGGCTGTGAAGGACATGGTCAGAGACAGTCTCGTTGGATGCTGAGCCCCAGCTTCGGCAGCTCCGTCATCCCTGTGCAAGGAGCCTATAAAGGGTGGTGATTCAGCATTCTTTCAGAGCCATTTGTCAACCTGAAACATGTTCTTGTGTGTTTTCCTTAGACCTTGGCTCATTACTTCTTCCTTATGGTCGTCATGCCGGTGAATAAAATTAGGAAGAAGTTTATTTACAAAGTACTCCGTTACAGCGGGTTAACTCTCAGGTGTTTCTGTCCCAGCCTGGTGCACGAGCTCACTGCTGGGCCCCCGTTCCTTATCCACGGGGGTAAGCACAGGGAAAGGTAATTAATTTGAACCTAAATAGATATAATTAAGACCGTAATTATATGTAAAAAAAAAAAAAAATCTCAAAACATAGTCTGAAATCAAAATTTATTTGGAGGGTTTTTTGCAATCTGGAATTACACATACAACAGGGTGGTGGTTTGAGGATAATCTTTTCTTAATGACCCGAGTGGGTCATTTCCGTGCTCAGAGCATCACCAGGGGCTTCACATCCCAACCGTGTGCTGTGGTCTGCAAGGCCTCTAGTGATTAACTTCTGCCGGCCTCCCTCATTCCCCCCCACGTTTAACCACCCTGGCTCTCCTATTCCTCAAACACACCTTGCTTTTGGCTACCACAACACATTTGCATCTCCTCTGTTCGTCTCCTGGAACTTTCCTCTTCTACGTTTTCCCGGGGCTGCCTCCTTGAGTTTATTCATGTTTTTGCTTACGTATCACCTCCAGAGAAATGCCGTCCTGCATTATCCTATTTTAACATCCCCATGCCACCTATAAAGTCCCCAGTTTTATTGTCTTCATAGTCTTTACCACTGCCTGAAAACTTACGCAGCCTTTGCTTGTCTTCTCTCACCATGATGTCAGTTGCTTGAGGGCAGGCGTCTTGCTCTCTGCTGCACCCTGGACACCTTAGTCCCTTGAGTCTAGTAGAAGGGACTTAGCCTGCTCACTGGATGCTGAGAGAGTGTCTGCATCTAAGAGCAGGGCTATTCGAACTCTGCCCCAAAGAACCGGGATGGTGGGACATGTTGTCTCTCTGATGCTCCCCTCCCTGCCTTGTAAAGGATCCTGACAAGTTCCAGTTTGGCCGCACCAAGATCTTCTTCCGGGCAGGCCAGGTGGCCTACCTAGAGAAGCTTCGGGCCGACAAGTTCCGGGCAGCTACCATCATGATCCAGAAGACGGTCCGGGGCTGGCTACAGAAGGTGAAATACCGCAGGTTGAAGGCTGCTACCTTAACTCTGCAGAGGTACTGCCGAGGACACCTGGCCCGCAGGTGAGCCACGCTGGGGCACATCTGGATAGCGGAGTGGGGTGGGGGGACTTAGCTGGTTGGCCTCTCTCAGCCTAGTTAGAGTGGTTGTCTGTACCCCAGCTTTCTCCCATGAGTTGGGCACCCTTCTCCTGTGCCCTTCTCACCTGAGGGAGTAAGTCTAGTTCCAAGTCTCTTGGTTCCCCCAGTCTGTCCACCATTTTCCCTTTGTCTAAATCCTAAGGTAATCTTTTAGAAAAGGAGACAAATTCCGCCTTTCGCAGTTTCCACTCAGCTTCCTGATTTACAGCAACAGTTTCCAAATCCCTTGGGAATTTGGTAATTAGAGCTGGAAAGATCTTTGGAGTTCCTGTTGGGGAGTCACTGAATGGAGTCTGTGCTGAGGATGTGACTTGTCTAAACACCTACCACCATGCAGGGCGGAGCCTGGATGCCAGCCTGGCTCCCCAGCCCAGCACTGCGAAGCGGAAACTACCTCACCTCCTACCTGGTCTCATTAGATAGATGAGGCACCAGAGCATTGTGAGCATCTCCACTGAGAGAGCACATGGGACACGGCCTCCCCTAAGACGCTCCCCTGGTTCAAAATCAGCGCGCTCTCAATATAGCGATTTCCTTGGGGAAGTGACAATTTGCCATGAAGTCTTGTATTGGGAAGCCAGACTTCCACAAGTGGCTATTCAGTCACTTGGGCTGGAATGTTAAAAGGGGGGGCGGGGAAAGCCCCCGAGTTCAAGTCAGAGCAGGCGTCCTTTGTACCATAAAGTTAGAAGATTATTCCTGCTGACGCTCACATCCTTGCCGTAAGCTGTTTATCTGGGCATAACCAGATTCGTTACCGCTGAACCACCAAGATCTGATCTCTGGAACAAAAGCTAGAGAAATAAAAAGTTGTCATTAGCATCAACACAAGGTAATCCTCGACAGTCGGGGCAAACTAGCCAAGTCCTTGCTGAGTACCCCTGTGCGTGCAACTCTGTCTTACGTGGTGGATGGTGAGGATCTAAAATGGAGTTGGCCTGCGTTCTCCCTTTAGGAGTTTGTGACCCCAGGGATATGCAGGGCCCACTGAGGGAGAACGTGCTTACGGAGAGTTAGACTGGGGAATCAGACTCCCTTCAGCAGGCAGGGTGTGTCGGGGCGGGGGGGTTCCTTCCTCCTCTGGGGCTCTGCTAGATGATTTCTGAGGGCTTTTCCAGGAAGCTTTTAATATTCTGAGTCTCTGAGCATTTGCTATGAGCCTGGCACCAAACGAAGCCCTGAAGGGAAGGTAAGAAGTGTCCGATTGACTTTGTCTTACCTGGGGGTGCGGTGGGGAATGTTGAAGTGAAACCAGAAAGTCAGGTGTCCATATGTAATGCCTTCTGGGCAGAAAGGGCGAGGGAGATGAGAAAGCAGGGAGAGATGGGTGTGGGCCTGAGAAGGTTTTATTCATTCAGCAAATAGATACCAAGCACCTCCAGGCCTGGCCCTTACTAGATGTAGGGGGCAGGCATGATTGAGACCCGGCTCCTGGTATCTCCAAGCCGAGTGGGGGTAGACGGGACAGACAGAAGCATAAGCACGCGATGTCACTGGGGACTGCCCAGGTTGGACCGAGGGGCTCAGTGGGTGTGGGAGTGAGCAGATGGGGATCATGGAGTCGGTCAGACTCAGACTCCTTAGACATTCTGCGGCTCAGAGCCTGAGATTTGGGTGCCCGTGGTGCTGCTGCATTCTGTCAGAGTGTAAAGCTGGCTCGGCCTGCAGTGTCCAGGCAGGGCTGAGTGGGGAGAGGCTTGCGTCAGCAGGGCCCGCCCGTCTTCTCCCTCCCCAGGCTGGCTGAGCATCTGCGGAGGACCCGAGCAGCTGTTGTGTTCCAGAAGCAGTGCCGCATGCGGAGGGCCCACCTGGCCTACCAGAGGGCCCGCAGGGCCGCCATCGTCATCCAGGCCTTCGCTCGGGGCATGTTCGTGAGGAGAATCTACCAGCAGGTGTGGAGCTGCCCCAGGGGACTCGCAGGCTGCAGGTTGAGAACTAAAGCAGCAGGGGCACCCGGGTGGCTCAGTCGGTTAAGTGTCTGCCTTCAGCTCAGGTCATGATGCCGAGGTCCTGGGGTCCTCATCAGGGAGTCTGCTTCTCCTTCTGTCCCTCCCCCCGCTCATGCTTATGCTCTCTCTCTCAAAAATAGATAAAAAATCTTTTAAAAAGAGAGAACTAAAGCAGCCGTAAGTAGATTATCACCACTGTGAACATTTGCAAGGTGCTCCTAACTTTCTAAGTGATTTCACAACTTTGCCCCCACTGAATCCTTCCAAAGTCCCATGAGGTGCAGTGCATTAGGGTTTTCCGGAGAAGTGGAACCCATAGGAGATGTACGTGTGTGTATATACATATGTCGAGATTCTCAGGAAATCGCCCACCCAGTTATGGAGGCCAGGAAGTCCCACCATCGGCTATCCACAGATGTCATTCAGTCCAAGTCTGAAGGCCTGAGAACCAGGGGAGCGGATGGTGTGAATCTCAGTCCAAGGGCAGGAAAAAATGAGACAAGATGTCCTAATTCCAGCAGTGAGGCAGGAGAAAAGGGGGCGAATTCCTCCTTCCTCTGCCTTTTGTTCTCTTCAGGCGCTCAGGGATGATGCCCTTCCACCCTGGGGAGGGGAGTCCACCAATTCAAATGCTCATCTCATCTAGAAACACCCCCACAGACACACCCAGAGGCAGTGTTTAATCTGGGCACCCTGAGGCCAGTCAAGTGAAGGTGTGACCCTAACCATCACGGGTAGGGTGGGTGCATATCATTGTGCCCCTTGGACAGCTGAGGTGCTTGGGGAAGCTGTCACCTGCCCAAGGGCACTCGGTCAGCCAGTGGCAGAGCCTGGTGACCTGTCTTGGGCTCACTCAGATGTGAGAGCAGAGGGCGATAGTAGGCATCAAATGAGGCACCCCCTCATTTGACAAGTTAGGAACCTAAAGCTTAGCAAGGTGAGGTCAGGAGAGGGGGGATTCTGGTCTCCTTGCCATTATTCCGGTGAAGCTGAAGGACTCGGGGAGCCTTGAATCAGGACACATCCATTCCACCATATCACCCCCATACAGCTGAAGCTCAAAGCTAAGATGGAAGATGGGTTGGAAGGAAATGTCAAAAATATTCTTTGCTCCTAAAAGGAACATTTCTCTCTTCTGTGATCAGAGAAGGTATGATTTTCTAACTAATAAAACTGAAACCCTGAAGGGACCATGAGAAAACAAACATGGTCAGACGCCAGGGTGGAGCACGCCGATGTCATACATTTCCTTCCAGTCCTCCAGGCAGTACGTGAGTCTCCCTTCTTCCTGCCGTGCAAACCCAGCAGGTATGTGCTTGTCCCCCACCAGGTCCTCATGGAGCATAAGGCCACCATTCTCCAGAAGCACGTGCGGGGCTGGATGGCACGCAGGCACTTTCGGCGACTGCGGGGGGCGGCTATCGTCATTCAGTGCGCCTTCCGGATGCTCAAGGCCAAGCAGGAGCTGAAGGTCCTCAAGATCGAGGCCCGCTCCGCAGAGCACCTGAAACGCCTCAACGTGGGCATGGAGAACAAGGTGGTCCAGCTGCAGCGGAAAATCGATGACCAGGTCTGCGTCCCGGGCGCCCAACCAGGGGCAGGGGGGCACGTTTGAGAGAACTCCCCAGGGAACTGTGTGCACCAGGGACCTGAGGAATTACAGATGTCCTGAGGGTGTCACCCCAGTCAACAAGAACGGCTACCAACTATGGCAGACAGAATAATGCCGCCCCCGCCCCCAAAGATGTTTGCATCCTAATCCCTGGGACCCATGACTATGTGACCTCACATGGCAAGTGGAACTTTGCAGAGGTGATGGAGTGAAGGGTCTTGTGATGGGGAGATGAGCCCAGATTATGAATGGACCCAGTATATTCACAAGGGTCCTCGTGAGAGGGAGGCAAGAGGGTCAGATTCGGAAGAGAGGCAGTGGCAGAGGTTGGCATGAGGCGGGGCCGTGAGCCAGGGACGCAGGCGCCTCTGGGAGCTAGAACAGGCAGGACCGTATTCCCCACTGGAGCCTCGAGCAGGAACACAGCCCTGCTCTGACCCTTTGAGACTTCTGACCTCCAGAACTGTACGGTCATAAGGTTTGTAGCGTTTCAGTAGATTCGTACTGCTGACTTAACGGTGGTTTGTGATACCAGCAAGAGGAAGCAGCCACACCAGCCCAGAGTCATGGTTTCCTGCCCTGGTGGAGGCAGCCCGGAGTGGTAACGATAGCGGACGTCCTAGTGCTTTGTCTCTGTTAGCCTGTTAATCCTCCCAGCAGCCCCGGAAGGGAAAGAGGGTCACACAGGCGATAGCGGCGAGGCCACGATCTGAACCCCACTTGTCCAGCTCTAGAACCCATGTTCTTCACCACTCTGCTCTTCTGCCTCTGTCGCGTTGTGTGGTGGGAAGAGCACTTGCTTTGGAATCAGAAAAAATCCAATTCAAATTCAAGTCGAGTGGCTTGATCCCTCTGAGCCTCAGTTTGCTTATCCATAAAATGGGGCTGCTAGGACTGTAAGAGTGTAAGTGATTGAACGTGCACAAAGGGTCTGGTCTGCCCTGGGGAGCTCAGGAAGTGGTCACCACTATTATGTTCATGCTTCTTCCTTTTCCTACCCCAGCCACCTTCTCAACCAGTCACACAAGTGACAGGTCATTGGTCAGGTCCCTGCGGGTGTGGAGTATTGTGCTGGGCACTGCAGGGAATCTGAAACAAGCACAGAATGCTTGGCACCCTCCACCAGGTTGGAAAGATGAAGCAGGCCCATGTGCACACAGGTCCGTACACCCACTCTTTGGTGGCTCCTGTGGCCAGTCTTCCTTCATCTTCCTCTTTGGAACAACTTTATCTGGTGCTTGACAGTTTCTGGTGCTCTGTTAGGCTTGGTGAACAGAGGATGGCTCTGACCCACATGGACGCTTATTACAAGGGAACGGTCTTATGCCAACAGGGCCAACAGCACCAACTACCCTAATGACTTCCTGTGCACCCCCACGTGCCATCCCCTGTGACAGGCATTTTATGTTCACTCTCATTTGATCCTCCATGGGCTTGTGAGGTCATTTCATAGATGAGGAAATGGTGGTTCAGGGACTTCCAAGTACCTTGATGAGGTCACAGAATTTGAAAATTCTAAAGCCAGCATTCCAGCCGTGGTCTCTCTGATCCCACAGCCATAACGAGGGTGATGCTAGGGTTTTTTTAACCCCAAGCATCACTAAACTGTGAGCCCTTCCCTGGGCCTTGTCCTTGCCAAGATGGGTTCCCAGCATTGAAAGCAGGCTCACGGTCACTTTGCTCATGCAGGGTTGGTAAGATGACCAGAGGAGCAGGCTTCTGCAGTACCCTTGAGGGTTTCAGGTGCCTCCTAGGGGAAAGGAGAGGGAGAGAACACAATGCTAGAGTGGGCTGTGTAGTGTGGAGACAGAATTCGAGTTAGAGTCACCAGGCATTGCCCCGGAGGTCACGCCGTTGTGTCGCATCTGTTCTAGGCTAGGCAGTTTGGAAGCTTCACGTGACCCCAGTAGGGGCAAGAACATAAATAAACCATTTTATACCTAACCTACTTGCCCCAGATAGCAGCCCAAAAGCAGTGCACAGATAGCAGTAAAATGCCCTTGCTTCTCTGCTCTTGCGAAAGACCAGGCTTCCCAAGAAGAAGCCGTGGTCCTGGATGTTGATGTTGCCTGTGTGAGTTCGACGGGGTGTCTTGTTTGCTGGGGACCTTAGTGGGGAAGCTCGAGTGCGGGGCTCGGAGACACTGGGTACCTGCCCCTGCTCAGCTTGTAATGACAATGCCTGCTCAGGGAGGGAGGCACATCTGCCCGAGGGACAGGAGCAGAAAGAACTGGCCATTTGAAAAACACAAGTACAGATAGGACCTGGGTATTGTTGTTATTGTGGCCATTGATGATGGACCACAAAAGATATTTGCATAATCAAAATTTGCCAATTAACCTTCTGAGTACAGCCTAGTCGGAGGGACGAGTACGCTTAATTGGCAACGCTGCACCCTGCCACGAGCCCCAAGCCATTGGGCCCTGCGTTGGCTTTGCTGATTTCTGAAGTTAATGCGAGAGGTTAAAAATAAATCTGATATTTTACAAACCGCGTGCTGGAACATCAAAGAGAAGCAGATTTAAAAGGCCTATTTTTAAAAAAAGATTTTTGCCTTAAGCTTCCTGCTTGGCAAACATCTGTGAGTGGTGGCAGGTGTTCTCTACCCCGGGTAGCGTGCCCTATGTGCAGAGGGTGAGCAGAAGAGGTAGGAGGGCTGGATTAGATCTTGCTTTCTCGTACCCCTCCCTGCATTGCTCCACTATGTGCCAGGCACCATTCTCAAATATTTATTTAATCTCACCAAGACCTGATGAGATGATAATCTTCCCATTTTAAACTGAGGCACAGAGGTTAAGTAGCCTGCCCAAGCCCACACACTAGTAAGTAGCATGGCTAGGATCGAAACCTGGCAATCTGGTTCCAGAGAACATGCTGCCACCTCGACCAAATATAGGATATCTGCACATTTGGAGACTCTTTGGACATGTGAGAATTCCTCAATCCGAGGAAGACTCTGTTTTGTTTTGGGTTCCTTCGCATATAGATGGCATCGTCCTTGGACCAGTTGGCCTTTTACGTGGGGTGTGTGATCCAGTGTCAAGGAATTCCCCTCGCACTCTGCATGCGAGGAGCCATCAGCATAATCACCAGCATAATCTTGGCACCAGGTCTTCGGAGATGCTTGCTGATTGCAGTCTCTTGGCAGATGGGGCTAGCCATTTGGAATTGAATGTCCTTCTGTTCTTTCTGTCATGCCTTGGAGACAACTCTGGTCACTGCTCTCCTGACACACAAAGTTCTTTTTTTTTTTTTTTTTTAAAGATTTTATTTATTTATTTGAGACAGAGAGAATGAGAGACAGAGAGCATGAGGGGGAGGAGGGTCAGAGGGAGAAGCAGACTCCCTGCCAAGCAGGGAGCCCGATGCGGGACTCAATCCCGGGACTCCAGGATCATGACCTGAGCCGAAGGCAGTCGCTTAACCAACTGAGCCACCCAGGCGCCCCAAAGTTCTTAAGCAGAAGGAGAGGATAGGCAAAGGCATCCGAAAGTATTTGTCAGAGCAGCATGGGGTAGTGGGCAAAGTCCCAGCTGGATGGAGGCCTGAGTTCTGTCTCAATTATACTTGCAACCAGACCTGACAGCTAGGGATTACGGCCGAATCTATAACTGGGCCTTGAGTTCTTTCAAGGAGGTTGGCCCAAGATTTCTAAAGTAACTTCTAGCTCGAAAATTCACTGATACTATGATGTGGCTCAAGTAGTGGTTCCTGACTCCAGGCTGCCCTAGAGGATTACCTGGGGGAGCTTTTTTTTTTTTTAAGGTATCCCCACTGCCAAGAATTCAGCAGAGGAGGAAACTAAAGGATAAATCCAGGGTACCTTGCCACGAAAATTCATGTCTAAGGTTTTCTGCACCCAACTAAAGTGACAAGACACGAAATTGGCACCAAGTTCCCAAGCAAACAGAACAGTTTAGGAGGATTGGAGCTGTCCCTGGTGTTGAGAGTTCTTCCTGCGGGTTTTCGTAATCTGTGGTATCGTAAGCCACATCCTTCATAATATCTTTCAGCAGTGAAGGGACAGTTCCTGGGACCATTTCTTACAGTGTCCCTGATGTAGGCCTGTGCTGTGACATGTTTCTGTCAAAATGATGTAGCCAGTGAACTTCGCTTTCTACCATTCTGGCTTTATTCAGGCACAACATGTAGAGTGACTAGGCCAATTGAATCTACCATTTCTTTTATAATGAGGTCAAGTTTATTAGACTTTTATGAGTACAATGCTGTATTTAAATATTTTGTCTGAAAAAAGAGAATTCTGTGGGTTGTTAGTAGCCTTTTAAATCAGATTGATTCAGTATACTTAGTATACATTTAATAGATATGTTAAATTAGTTATTTTGATTCATGAGAGCATCCAAAGATAATTGAAAAATAGTATAATTTACAGTTTTATGGCCTCCAGTGCATTTTCCTTAAATGAAATGGGGATATTAATCAGTCTCACTACATAGGATTTTCAGGAGTGAATGAGTTAATATATATGTATATATATGAATTAGGTAGTACAGTGCCCACCCCATAGTAAGCACCCAATAAGTGCTAGTAATATGTGTGGAACATGTTATTTTTCATGATGTAGTCTTGCAATGACTTCCTCACCCCTTTCCCCAGGGGTCTGTAGACCATTGACTGGGAACTACTTGAAACCGCTTCCATATAGTTCTGCACGTTGTACACTGCACAAGGGTAGTTGGCAATGGGGACAAGTAGGGTTGGGGACCAACGTCTGCTCATCTGACTATGAGCTCTGGAGCACTGCTGCCCTGAGGAAGAGGAGGTGTCCTCTGTTCTAAGCTGTGCACCCCTGGGCCTGTGTCCACCCCGAGAGGCAGCTCTGTGGAGCTCATCCTCCTGGAGGTGGTGCCTTTCCTGGTTCATACAAAAGTGCTGTAGAGGCCAGCAGAGGGCTTGGGACCATGGACCAGAGGAACAGGTGAATGCCATATCCTTCAGGTGGGGGAAACATTTCAAGCATAAAAAATTTTACCAGGCAAATCTTTGAGAGGAAAAAAATATATAAGCTTTTGAGAAAGTAATAAATAGCAGAGAGTCTCAACTTACCTTCCCAGACAGGTTCCTCGTTGGCAATTGAGGACAGCTCTGTGCCCTTTAGTGGTAGGGGCAGAGTGAGCATCTTCTCGGGATGTTTGAGGAGCCCAGGGAGAATAGGGGTCTATCTGGAAATCCCCACGCCCTGATATTAGGGAAAGGCCCTCACTGGTGCAGGACAGAGCTGGCCAGGTCTCCTGGTCACACTGACAAGGCGGCACTGAGGAGCTCAGCCTGCCATTGCAGGGAGGGTTTCTGGGGTCTATGAGGGAGCAAGTGCCCCACACCAGCCCCCGTGTCGGGCTTAGCTGCACAGTTGTGGGCACCTGATGGGGACATACGGCATGAGGATAAGCCGGGAAACTGCTGGGCTCCTCTGGGGTCTTCCTTTCTGAAATCATACCTCCGGACCATGAAACGTGCAGCTGCAATGAGTCCCCAGTGATTATTTTTGGATGCTGATGATGAAATAAGGAGCTGCCCAGGTGCTGCTGTTAGGAGTCTCCCCACCACCTCCGGGGACCAGCAGAGCGTTCAGAGCATCTCTCCCCAGGACTCCCTGCAGAACTGAGCGAAGGAGACAGCTCCTGTTTATTGGGCACTTACTGTGTGCCAGGCAGCGGCAAGCCACTAGATCTCCCTGCATCTGATAAAAACCCTGAGGAAGGACTTACTGTCGGTCCCCCTTTCACACACAAGGAAACTGGGGCACAGAGAGGTGGAAGGACCTGATCAGACAGACGCAACTGATCAAGGATAGAGCCGGCATAGGAACACAGGTCTGTCCACCTCCAGCCACTCTTAACTCCGTGACGTCCTGAGTCCCATGTCCACCTGGGTGTCAGGAGCCACAAAGAGCTGGCCTCCCAGAAGGACCGTTATCTCTGCATGAGGATCCTAAGGTGTTATCTGTGTCCATAGCAGGATGCCGTCTTCTGCCGATCTGCAGAACATAATCCTCCCTGAGATTCTTCCAGAGGAGCAGACTTTGCCTGTGCCCCTGGCTGCCACCACATTTCGTGCCTCCTTCCACACCCCACACTCGCTCCAGCTAGAAACCCCCCAGCTCAGTCCTCTGCTCCACTCTCACAGTGATCTGACCCAGCTGTGCCACCTGGAGAGGACAGTTAAGCTGAACCTCACTTCCAGCCCCGAGTGGAGAAAAGTTGACATGTCTCGTCTACTCCTCCCTGAAGCCACTCCCCTAGGGCAGGGACCCTTCAGCCTCCGAGGTGGGGGACCCAGACCAGAGTTGGCGTGGGAGGTACAGACAGGATTGAGTTTTCTAAACAGATGACCCCTAACTGGATTTCTTGTGATTACTTCCAGCAAGGCTGGCTGCCAGACCAGACCTAGGGGCATGTCAGGTTGTGACCCAAAGGTGTGCCTGGACTGTAGGAGGATCTCTCTCGGCAGTATCAAAGCAGGACGGGTTCTGCTTAGACACCCACAGCAGGTCCCGGGCTGGAGGTCCCACAGCATGCATGGCCTCTTGTGGGGTCCAACAGCTGTTCTGCTACTCTGCACAGCTTTCTGTGAAGCTTCCTTTCTGATGTGAATTAGTCATTGATTCCTGATGCCCCGGCTTACTGGTATTTTAGCCAACAGCTCTGGTCTACTTGGAGCTCCCACAGAGAACCGCAACGAAGAAAAATGATTATCGGTTGCTTACTTGGAGAACCCCTTCTTCCCTTTCCCCACTGGCCACTTTCAGCTGTTCCTCTCACCACCTGAAGCACCAGTTTTTGCCCATGTTGACACAAGCCGTTGACACTGGTCCTGGGTCCTCTGCGCTCCCTCTGTGTGAGCCCATCTGGGGTGCTGTGCCTGGGCCCCTTCCATAGCTGCACCAGGCACATGGCGGGGAGGGGAGGCTGCTTGCTTGCCTGTTGTTGGTTTGGGTGCCCAGTCTGCAGGGGCACAGGGTGGACAGAATCTGCCGGGGCATCCATGCGTGGCGTCAGAGTCTTCCAGGGTGAGCTGACAGGTGGTGAGAGGGATCCCTAGGCCCTGCAGAGGGCCTCCTTGGAAGAGGGGATGTTAAAGGGGTCCTTTGTCTCAGAGCTAGCGATTAGGTTGCAGCTTTTTGAGCCAGCGAGTCCAAGGGCAGGAGGGCCCTGTGTGAAAGACCAAGAAAACCTGAAAAGCTAAGGCTGCAGATCTAGGAAGCCAGCTACATTGTTCCCACAACTTAGAAATGGGCTGTAGGGTCTGTCCAGCCCCACACAGAAGACTGACCGCCGTCAGCCGGCTTCTGGCTCTGCCGCGGCTCATAAACACGGCTTGAATGTCCCTTCGGTTTTTGTTCTTTTCCTCTCTCGCCCCCAGGCTCACAACAGAGTTCCCTCGGGGCGGGGAGGGGGGGGGATGCCAGCAGGGCACTCAAGCATGCCGTGATTATGAAATCTAATTCCACCTTGGAAGTTCCTTTTTTAATTGCCTTCGTGTCTTTTGCCTGCCCCCATAACTTTGCTCCCCACTGTTTCTCCCCTCCCCTCCCCTCCCCCCTCTCCCCCTCTGTCGGTGCTCTCACAGAACAAAGAGTTCAAGACGCTGTCGGAGCAGCTGGTGGCGGTCACCTCCACACACGCCGTGGAGGTAGAGAAGCTGCAGAAGGAGCTGGCCCACTACCAGGAGGGCCACGGTGGGGACAGCAGCCTGAGGCTGCAGGAGGAGGTCGAGAGCCTGCGGGCTGAGCTGCACAAGGCCCACTCGGAGCGCAAGATCCTGGAGGATGCCCACACCAAGGAGAAGGAAGAGCTGAAAAAGGTATGTCGAGGCCAGAGGGAGTGGCTTGGCAGTGGGCTGGTTCACAGAGCACCCCTCCGGGGCAGTTTCTTCTTCCCGCTCTAAAATTGCCCTGGACTTTACTGGGGCTTGTGCCCATGAACTGACCATCTGTCTGCATTTAGACGTAAAGTGCTCATGCTTTGGGGGAACCCACACGAGCACATGTCCATTCACCTAACACATGTTGATTAAGTTTTGCTATTAGCTGAACGCAGTGGCATCTCCTGAAAGGAATACTCATGTGTGCCTTTGGGCATATTTCTTATAGTCTAGAATTAGTCACTGAGTCAGCTCTGTGGCCCGAGTTCTCGTTAGCAAGAGGCACGGTACAGAGGTTGTGGCTTTTCTTCTTGATGTTGCAGGGATTGGCGCAACCTGTAGACATCCCTGCTCATAGTAATCCTACTTTGGGGAATTTGACTGAAGTTTGTGTTGATAGTTTTGGCCTGACTCACCCATTCTGGTTGCTGTGCTCTGTAGGTTTTCTCTCCACCCCGTAAAGTAGAACTTCCTGAGATTGGCCCCTGCTCCCCCATCTGAAAAGTCAGGATACAAAGATTTCCTTCTCCTCTCCCAAGATAACTGTTCAAGCCAGGGAATGCCACGTGCCCACTGGAGGGCCTCCTGTGGACACAGGACACCACTGTTTACTCCTGCATCTCTGCAGTGACTCACAGACCACAGGGCAAATAGCACCTGCCCACTTATTTAGTGCCTCCAATACTGGAGAGTCGCAGTGGGTTGAAAATCTAAGGATGGGGGAGGGATTCAGTGTTCCTGATGTTGGAATAACTTTGTGTTTAAAAATTAGAGCAGGGGTCACCTGGGTGGCTCAGTTAAGCATCCAAGTCTTGGTTTTCAGCTCAGGTCATGATCTCTTGGGTTATGCGTTCGAGCCCCACATTGGGCTCCGTGCTCAATGGGGACTTTGCTTGAAGATTCTCCCTCTCTCTCTCTGCCCCTCCCCCTATACGTGCATGCATGTGTGCTCTCTCTAAAATATTTTTTAAAAAGGACAGACTGGGGGTGCCTGGGTAGCTCACTCAGTTGAGTGTCCAACTCTTGGTTTTGGCTCAGGTCATGATCTCAGGGTCATGAGATCGAGCCCCATGCTTGGCCCAGCGTCTGCTTGAGATTCTCTCCCTTTGCCCCTCTCCCTGCACACGCACTTGCTCTCTCTAACAAAGTCTTTAAAAAAAAAAAAAAAAAAAAAAAGCAGGCTAAATGCCACCACAGAAAGGGTTCTGGGGTAGACATTGGAATGGCTAGATGCTTCTCCCTGTCCTGCCATTACCAAGTACAAGCTTAATGGCCTTAGTTCCCTCAGCCGTTTTTTGGGGTTTTTTCCTGTAAGTATAGATTATGTCTCAGGCTTCTTCTGGACGTTGCAACTGGCCAACTCCATGAGATGGTATTTGAGGGCTCTAGAAGGAAGAGGACCCCAGCCCTGCCTGTAGCGCTTCCCTCTTCCTCTGCCCCATTACCTTCTCCTGGCCCAAGCCCTCAGGCACGGCTGGAGAGCACACAGACTGCTCTGTGAGATGCGAGCCCGCAGAGCCAGCTGAGCTGGCTCATGGTGAGCTTGCCTCCATGGTTTCCCTGTCCCAGACCGGACTTCTGACCACCAGCCACTGCTTTGCCTGAGCCCGGGGATTTCGCTAGCATCAGAAACGGAGTCCACGTGTGGACTGGGTGATGAATACAGTGTGACGTGGGGCTTCCCGGGGCAGGCAGCCAGCCTAACCCGGAAATGTAGGAGCTTCCGCCCCCAGTATGTCACCCAGGCGAACCTGCCCGCTCACCCAGCACGAGGCCTGGCATGGACTTCGTTCTTTGGGAGAAAGCATGTGGTACTAGGAAGCTCCTGTTAAAATGTAGCTTTAAGCTTGTAACCTACAAACGGTGGAATTCTGCCCTTGTGTCTACTGACCGTGGGAACAGATGGATGTAACCCTTCCATGGGATTAAAAAACAAGGCGGTGGAATCCAAAGGCAGAGAAGATGCCAGGATTAGAACTGGAAACCTTTGAGATTGGGGACCCCAGGAGAAAAAGAAAAGCAAGTTCCCTGCATGGGCACCCGAGTCCGGTGAGGCACGTGGGAAGTCTGTTTACCCAACAGATCCACAAAACCGGGGTGTCTCCTGTCTCCACCCCCCAGACAGCCCTCGACTCCTCGGCCACCCAGCCGCCTCACCTGCTTCCCCTTGGGCTCTCTGGTTTGAGGACTTAGCGCTCTAAAAATGTCTAAGTCTCCATCCAAGGGAGCCTGAGGGCTTATAATAATGAAACTCTTGGGGCGCCTCAGTGGCTCAGTCGTTAAGCGTCTGCCTTCAGCTCAGGTCATGATCCC